CACACATGAATGAAGTCATTATGGCACAGAACTCACTCGAATATTTTCTCAATCCATAGTACTTTTTAAAGGCAGGAAATCACACGCTTCAAAAACAAGAGACTAAAAAAGGCACAATATGTATTTTTTTGCCACTAGAGGGCGCGTATTCAAAACAAACAAAGAAACAAAGGCATGGTTAGATGACGAAGCAATCCGATGGGACTCGGGCAGAAATCATGTTCATGGATGAGCTAATGTATTAAAGATGTCGTAGTATGAAGCAGAGTGAGGCAGAAAGCCGTCGAAGCAAAACAAGGCCGCTGAACGAGCGCGACACACGGCTTGAAAGCAGCTGAGCTTTTATTATGCCACAGTCGACCGCTTCCACTCCTTCCGGAAAGCGGCGGTAGTAAGCAGTGCTGTTTTATCATACTAGATACGTTTGATCGTTCTGTTATAATGCTACTATGTGCGGTCGTCACCTGTCTAATAAAATGCATAGCATATTAAAGCATCTTTGGTGTTTCTATGTTTTCTACAAAACAAAACCGGAAATCAAGGGTGTATGACGTCATTGGCAGGCGACACAATGACACTTTAGACACAGTCCGTGTCACTAGTTAAAATTGCTTATTTCTCTGGATTTAAACATTCTTCTAAACATTTGGGATAATGTAAGCAAGTCAGCAAAATATATAAAATTGTTCTAGTGGTTTTTGGATATTTTAATAAGTACATGACGGAGACATCTGCACAATCTGACCTGTGTTGCAGCCTGGAATGAAACCATGCCATGCTGGTTTCGTCTCGCCTTTGGCTTGCTTAGTTGGGGACACTTAACTGACTGCACAGACACTATCAGAAGAGAGCTGAACTGGATGATGACCACTGAATCATCAATGAACTGACTTTAGCTGAAAAATGACTCTTTGTTTTTGTCTTCTTGCATTATTGACAAACTATTTTCCTGTTTGACACTGTAAAGCTGCTTTGACACAATCAGTATTGTATAAAGCGCGCACTATACAAATAATGGTGACTTGACTTGACGTCTGCATTTACATCTGTAAGACCTACCCAGCAGGCACACAATGTCATAAGACCTTGATATTTGGCTAAATTTCGGTTGCGACGTCGGGTGACCAAAATTCAATGTCAATTCAACGTCTAATGTCAATGTTAATTTGATGTCCAATACCGGCGTCAGCTGACATTGACATTTTGTTGTTTTTAGGTTGTGTAACCAAAATCCAACATTAAGTCAGCGTCAAATTGACGTCAAATACTGACGTTAACCCGATTTTCATTCTCAACCAAAATGCAACATCGGTCCGACATTGGGATCCAACGTCAAACTGACATTATATTGACGTCCGTTGCCTGCTGGGTATTTTTTAGAGTGTTTGCTCATCTGCAAAATCTATAGGACATTTCCGTTTAGAAGATGTCTTTAAGATGTTTATGATTTAGAATGTATGTAAAAAAGATGTCTATCAGATGTTTGTACACAGCAGATGCTTTCCAGATGAAGCGACCTTTAACAGACCTTTTGCAGACATATGTGTGCTATCTGGGACCAACCAAATCTGATCCAAATCTCATTGAGATTCGAAACATGAAATGGCACAGGATTCACTCGAAACCTATTTTCTCAAGTAAGTGACTTAAGCGAGTGAAAATATCAGTCATGATTCGTTCACTTAAAAGATTCATTCCATTTAAAAAACACAGATTAGTTCCGAGCAAAACACCACAAGGTCTGTCAAAAGCACACATGAATGAAGTCATTATGGCACAGAACTCACTCGAATATTTTCTCAATCCATAGTACTTTTTAAAGGCAGGAAATCACACGCTTCAAAAACAAGAGACTAAAAAAGGCACAATATGTATTTTTTTGCCACTAGAGGGCGCGTATTCAAAACAAACAAAGAAACAAAGGCATGGTTAGATGACGAAGCAATCCGATGGGACTCGGGCAGAAATCATGTTCATGGATGAGCTAATGTATTAAAGATGTCGTAGTATGAAGCAGAGTGAGGCAGAAAGCCGTCGAAGCAAAACAAGGCCGCTGAACGAGCGCGACACACGGCTTGAAAGCAGCTGAGCTTTTATTATGCCACAGTCGACCGCTTCCACTCCTTCCGGAAAGCGGCGGTAGTAAGCAGTGCTGTTTTATCATACTAGATACGTTTGATCGTTCTGTTATAATGCTACTATGTGCGGTCGTCACCTGTCTAATAAAATGCATAGCATATTAAAGCATCTTTGGTGTTTCTATGTTTTCTACAAAACAAAACCGGAAATCAAGGGTGTATGACGTCATTGGCAGGCGACACAATGACACTTTAGACACAGTCCGTGTCACTAGTTAAAATTGCTTATTTCTCTGGATTTAAACATTCTTCTAAACATTTGGGATAATGTAAGCAAGTCAGCAAAATATATAAAATTGTTCTAGTGGTTTTTGGATATTTTAATAAAAAAATCTTACATATTGTGCCTTTAAAGGGTTAGTTCACCCAAAAATGAAAATTAGCCCATTATTTACTCACCCTTAAGTCATCCTAGGTTTATATGACTTTCTTCTTTCAGTCGTAGTTATATTAAAAATAGTCTTTGATCTTTCAAGCTGTTTAATGCCACTTAGTGTGTGTTGCATGCATCAGTCCAAAAGAAGTTAAATAAAAAGCGCCCATCCATAAAAAAAGTGTCTCACACGGCTCCGGGGGGTGAACAAAGGCCTCCTGTAGTGAATCTATGCGTTTTTGTAAGAAAAATATCCATATTCAAAAGGTAATAATCACTTTAAAGTAGCTTGCACTCACTGTTGTAAACAGAAGCAGATCCGTGGGAATGATGTAAGAGGTCGGCTTTGCGCATGCGGCGCTCAGAAGTGGTGAACACGGAAATGCAGTGGAGAGATCAAAACAAAACAATGGTCACTTATTATTAGAAGTACAAAACGAGGATTTGTAAAGAAGAATGTCAGAGGATTTCGATATAAGCCAAGAGGAGACTGGTTTTCTTTTGCTAAAGTAATGAAACTTTGCTTCCTTTGCTCCTGTTAACAAGCATTGGTTTTCACGAGACTCACCGGCGCATGCACAGTGCTGAACTCATACGTAATCCGCCCGAAACTGCTTCCGTGTACAACTGCTGGCGCAAGCTACATTAAAGTGATTATTACGTTTTGAATATGGATATTTTTCTTACAAAAATGCATCGATTCACTACAGGAGTCATTTGTTCACCCCCCGGAGTCATGTGAGACACTGTTTTTATGGATGGTCGCTTTTTATTTAAAGGGGTGGTTGATTGCGATTTCACTTTTTTAATGTTAGTTAGTGTGTAATGTTGCTGTTTGATCATAAACAATATCTGCAAAGTTACGAAGCTGAAAGTTCAATGCAAACGGAGATATCGTCTTTTAAAATTCTGGCAGTTTAATGCCTAAAAAAATGACTGGTAAGGGACTACAACGAGTTACTTCCCGGGTCCGTTATGTCAAGAACCCAGAATTTTACATAAACCCCGCCTCCGGGAACATGCAGCAAAGGGGGCGGGGCCAAGCTGCGCTGCTTTAGAGAAGAGGAAGAGAAAACTACAGGTGAACGTAAAAATCTGTTCATATATGAATCGCGATTCTGTCTTCTAACGATTCTAATGGATTCACAAGTTTCAAAATCAATGTTCTAAAGCAGCGTTCTCATCCTGTTCCTCGCGTCCCCCTGCTCTGCACACGCTCTGCACACGCTCTGCATCTCTCTCTCTCTCTCATTCAGATCATCAGCTCAGTGAATACACTTATTTTCACATACTATAGTTATGAGACGCGTTATACATGGATGCGCGTGCGGTTGCCGAATTGTATTAAAGCTTTAATCAGAATAAAACCGTATATTAAAAGCTAACATAAGCTGTAGCATTTACAAATAACAGCGTATCTAAAAGTATGAGACAACAACAAACAGAAAACTTAGGCCTAGCATTAAAAGCCGTGCTCGCACAGGTTCTGCACGATCCTCTTCACTAATATCCTCTGCGTCTCAATCGGGCTCAAACTGATAAGCAATATAGACGACGTCATTGTTTACAATACAACCCGAGCACATGCCGCTGAGGTGAGGGGCGGGACGTTTAGAGCACGCTAGAGGCGGTTTAGCCAATCACAACACACTGGGCCAGCTAACCAATCAGAACCCATCGTGTATTTCTGAGGGAGGGGCTTCTTAAAGAAGGAAATGATCAGCACGTTCAGAGGTGAAGGGACAGAGCGGTGTGGAATAAAGGTAAATTATGTGAAAAATAATGCGTTTTTTAACAAACGAAGCATTAACACATGTTAGACTGCACCCCATAAACACAATCAAGACTAGAAAAAAAAACAGTCAACCACCCCTTTAACTTCTTTTGGACTGAGTGGCATTAAACAGCTTGAAAGATCAAAGACAATTTTTAATATAACTCCGACTGGATTCGTCTGAAAGAAGAAAGTCATATAAACCTAGGATGACTTGAGGGTGAGTAATTTATGGGCTAATTTTAATTTTTTGGTGAACTAACCCTTTAAGCTAGCGAAAATATTCGTTCACCATTCCGCTCAAAAAACGCCGATTCGTTCCGAACGAAACACCGCCACAAGGTCTCTAAAAAGAGAGAGAGAGAAAAAAGAATGAATTCATTTATGAAGGCAGTTTAAAACATCATTCGCTAGCATCCAGTGATTCAGAAAGGTTGCTCGCTTGTCAGTGGGTCATTGTGAAGTGGATAAAGGTGGCATCTGCGCGCGCAAATACCCCAGCCCTCATGACAGACACACTCGGTCTCGCTCCCTCATGCACACACACACACACACACTGACACACACACACTGACACACACACACTGACACACACACACTGACACACACACACTGACACACACACACTGACACACACACACTGACACACACACACTGACACACACACACTGACACACACACACTGACACACACACACTGACACACACACACACACACACACACACTGTAGAGGGCTCTAATTCAGCATGCCTGCTGTTGGATGCTCTTAGACCGCGACGCATCCGCCTCACCGTCTAGTTTGGCTGCCTCTGAAAGGGATTTCAATATTTTATTCAGAGCTCCTCATGGCTTCATCGGACGGAATAGACAAATGTCTTCTGCACAGAGGCAGATCTCAAAGTGACCCGAACATCCTCAGCGAGTCTGGCATTGATCTCTCGCACAGCACAGGTAAGATGATGCATTTATTGTCTGGAGAAGTCATTAGAATTCGCGCTTTTCATTCCCACATTCTAAAGTGGCTCCATAATCTGCATTAATAGCCTCCACTTTCATTTCAGTGTCCAATCAAATCAATCAAATTACGCCGCATTTGATGCTCTGTCTGTATCCCGATGAAATGCATCTGGCTACCATAGTAATATTCCCCTATGGATCTGTGTTATGGTCGCTATAACAGAAAACAGAAAATCCTAATTTTCACTGAGGGAGGATCCTCGTTGTCTTTTGTCTCGTGTGCGCATCCTTCCTTGTGCATCTCAGTGATCGTTTAATACAGGTTTGCTGTTGAGGTCCTGATGAAATGAGATGCATTTTTTGCTGCTTTGGCAACATTGGCTGGTGTGTCTGATAGCTTCGTTCCGCACTGAGACTGCGCATTCACTGCTCCTGCTTCAACAGAGCGGGTCAGTGGGGTCTCCTGGAGAACCTGATGTAGTGAGGCTTCTAGAAGGCAGCTTTTCTGGATGGTGGACAAAAAGCACATCTCATTGGAGTATTTGGTGTGGTCTGAAATGTATGGTTTGTGTTCATTGTCATTATAGAACGGGCGAACCTCATCAAACAACTGTCAAGAATGTCCGGGTCATATTACACCCCAAATTCAGAGGAAAGAAATACAAGACTGTGCTATAATAAGAAACCAGGAAGAGATAGAAAAATAATCTCAGTTTTAGAATTCCTATCCCCCCCCATTTTGTGTATTTTTATAACAGTTAAGCACATTTTTGCTCTCAGTTCCCAGTTCTGTGATGTGAGAAATAATTAATTATATATTATTTTGTTACTATGTGCTGTATGCATCATGGCAGTAATTGTTGTGTTGCTTCAATCATGCTGAACTTTTAATATGTTATTTAATATATTGATCTATGTATTATTTAATTTTATAATTGAATGTTTTAGAATCTATTTGTGTCTTGCTGTAATATCACACTGAAAATCACCATTGAGAAAAAAGGAATAAAAAAAAAAGTCCTAATGTGTTACATTTAGTGAGAATTTTGGGTGAAATGTGCTTAATTGTCAATGTAACAAATTATTAATAATTACTTTATTATGTATAGTCTTATATGTAGAGAGAGAGAGAGAGATGAATTTTTGAATGAATTTATATCATATACAGTGTGTGTATGTATATATATATATATATATATACTGTATATAAAAAATTAATCTCTCTGAATTTAAATTTAAATTATACACAGTATGTGTGTATGTATGTATATATTTACATATAAGAATATATAATAAGAATATACACACACACATAAATACACTATATATAATATATACATACATACACAATGAAATTATTGCAACACATTTGAACATTTCACTTTGTAATTTTCTTAAATATATCATGACAATGACAAAGTGAAATGTCCAAATGTGTTGCAATGTGTTTTTGTCAAATGATGTGCTTAACTGCCATTAGAATATCACACTGAAAATCACCATTGAGAAAAAAGGAATAAAAAAAAAAAGTCCTAATGTGTTACATTTAGTGAGAATTTTGGGTGAAATGTGCTTAATTGTCAATGTAACAAATTATTAATAATTACTTTATTATGTATAGTCTTATATGTAGAGAGAGAGAGAGAGATGAATTTTTGAATGAATTTATATCATATACAGTGTGTGTATGTATATATATATATATATATATACTGTATATAAAAAATTAATCTCTCTGAATTTAAATTTAAATTATACACAGTATGTGTGTATGTATGTATATATTTACATATAATAATATATAATAAGAATATACACACACACACACACACACACATAAATACACTATATATAATATATACATACATACACAATGAAATTATTGCAACACATTTGAACATTTCACTTTGTAATTTTCTTAAATATATCATGACAATGACAAAGTGAAATGTCCAAATGTGTTGCAATGTGTTTTTGTCAAATGATGTGCTTAACTGCCATTAAAATAAAGTTAATAATCATTCTAATAGTCCTAAAACTGTGTATATATTCAGAATTTATTGTGAAATATGGTCAGCACATGCTTTAATGGGATTTACCTTTAGTCACCCGGAGCGCTTTGCTTTGAACGTGAGGTTCAATGTATAAATGGCGTGGAAATGCACAATGACCAAGCAATCCTGTTCTGTCTTGGGAAAGAATAAGAACAAATACCAGTTGATCTTCTTCAATCTGAACGTAAAATCAATTGCGATAAAGATAACTTCTTTGAATCCCCCGCAGTGTCACCTTTAGCTTCATTGGTTTATTCTGTAGGGACCACTATTTCATCATGGATGTCCTACCAGTCAATGAGGCCGAGAGTCATGTTAACCTTTTCTCTTTTTAGTGATGAAAAAATCAGATGTAACATGACATCTGCAGGTACTTCCATTCCACTCTGACAGTGTGGGAGCAGCACAATTTTACAAAAGACTCTTTTCTTAAGTGCAGGTATTTTTAGGCCTTTAAATACAGAGGAAATACATTTCTAGATTAAGCCAGATGCACAACAGTTATATAGAAAAAAGAGCTGCTTTAAGTGGCACTTGACATTTATCTTAAAAATAATGCATTAAAAGAATGACTTTTGCATTAAAATGTCGGTATTACAAGAGCACAGGGAAGACCGATGGAGCTAAGAAAGATATGTGAGATGTAAGAGAGAGTGAGATTGAGACAGGAGTAGAGAGACAGAGTAATCGAGTGAGTCTGGTGTGCTTTGGTGCTTTCTGTTACTCATCGACCAGTGCCGGTGGTAGATGCTGTGGGTGATGCATCATTCTCTTCTCGAGCTCAACGTTCATTAATTAAATGTCTGAATGATATGTGGCCAGTAATGCACGCCTGGAGAAGATTGCTGCATCACTATTTAACAACGAGGAAGTTCACACCGCTCACAGATGTCTGTTAACACTTCAGTTTGTCATGGTGCTGTTTTAGCACTTTCCTTCTTCATAAGAATATCTGTCATTGCATCAGCATCCTACTCCCAACCTTCATGGAAATATCAAATTTAACCCTTTGATGCATCGGTTTCTAAATCACAAAGGGGAAAATGTGTTATTCATGTGTAATTATATGTATGCATTTTTAATTTACCAATATTTTTACTAATATGTGTATATATACTGATCAAATGTTTTAGTTTTTTTTTCACATGGTTTTTGAAATGTCCTATAGGCTCACCCCGGCCAAATTTATTTGATCAAAAATATAGCAGAAACAAATATTGTAAAATATTATTATAATTAAAAATAGCTGTTGTCTATGTTAATATATTTTAAAATGTCATTTATTCCTGTCATTTTAAAGCTGAATTTTCAGGAGTAATTAGTTTTCAGTGTCACATGATCCTTCAGAAATCATTAAAATATGCTAATTTGCAGCTTAAGAAAAACATTTATGTGAAATTATTAAAGTCCGCATGAAATCAAAATGGACTTTATTTACTTTATTAGCACACATTGCAAGTCTTGATGTGAACAGTTAATCTGTGCAAGTTATTCCGCTGAAAAATCGGCAGCAACTTCCGGTTCACGCGGACTTTAATCTTTTAAACTCTGCCCAGTAGTCAAAGAGCACTTCAGAGGTTGAACAGGAAGACAGAGAGACATCATGATTGAGATCTGTTTCATATCAGTAGATTTGAGGCATCGTCCCATAAGATAATCATCAGGTTCATTAAAAAAGTCTTAAATTTAGATTCTATGATGCACCGCATGCCCTGCTCACTTCACACCTCTTTACACATTAATAGTGTTTTCACAGTTGGGTGAACTTCTCGCCCCTGAAAAATTAGAAATTTGTATTTTGTAACTAAGATAAAGTGAACATTTTGGGCTATTCAAGACACAGAGAAATACTTTATAAAGAGACTAAAGACTGATTTAAAGTCTTATACGAGTCTTAATTTCTTAGATCCTTTTCAGTTTTTCTTTATGTCCTGTGCACTAGGCAATATGTACTGAATATTTCATTAGGAAAAATGAGAAATCATCCTTAATAATTATGCTCACTTGGCTATGTAACAGTATTTTAAAGTTTCTTGTAAATAACAAATAGCATTACATTGGGGTTTGTGCAAAGGCTGGTGTTCAGAGGTGGGCTATGACTCATCAGCTTCCCTTGTGCTGGCTGGTGCGAGCGCTTGTTCATCAGGGTGTGTGTAGTGTCTGATGAAAAGGTCTGGCCCAGAAAGTCCTTGATATTTCTTTTCATGCATCTTTCACTTCTTTTGTGCTTTTCAAGTGATTACTCGCCCGCCAGTGCGCCTGCCTATAAATCGGCCAAATTTGCAGCACAATCGGCCGATTTTGGCATTTTTCAATTAATCGGTATCGGCCGATTGTGCTGCAAATTTGGCCGATTTATAGGCAGGCGCACCGGCAGGCAGCTAAGCGTTGTTGTGGAACTCCCTCTGAGGCTGCGTGAGACGGAGCAGCTCACACTCTGCAGCCGCTACTTGTCCACACACAGCTTCAGCTAATGATGGCAGGGCAAAACAGACCGTTTCGAAAGCGGAATTACGTTTCACCCTACTAGAATTGATGCCGGAAAGTTATCATATTCATAAGTGCAACAAGTCATTTGCATGTGAAAGTAGAAACACGTTCAATTCAGACGAAACTTCTGGGCTGATTATAACGTGCACCTTTACTTTCCTCATGAAATGTGTCTGTGGGTCCGACAATAGCCTCCAT